TTCCGGTGACAGACAGCTGTGCCTGACTGCCAGGGTGTCTCAGTTGTCTCACACTGTCTCCAAGCCTTGCTGCATGCCTTAGGGCTCAGGGTGCAGAGTTAAGAGGAACGCTCCACCTGGGGCTCTGGATTGGAGACCCTCTCCGAGTGGCAGGTGGCCATTCGGGGCTGGGGAAGATGCCTGCGGGGTATGAAACCCCAGGACTGGGACGATGAGCCACCACTTAGAGGCAGACGCAATTCCTTGGGTTCCAAACACATTTTAACTGGGCTCCATACAAGAACTGGGGCACCAAACCGAATTACGCTAAGAGAACCAGCGCTCCATTGTTCATTCAAATCATAGCATAGATTGATTAACAGACCAATCATTCCACTAGCGGTGTTTAATAGTGAAAGGAGGCATCAAGAATCATGTTGAGGAGAACAAGAGAAGCCCAGTGAGAAATGAGAGATCTAAGGAGTAATAATGATGAGGAGAGCAAGGACGGTGTGGGGGGTAATAATGAAGGATGGCAGGGGCCGGGGCCAAGGCTTAGTGAGTGACAGTGTTTACTGTTCAAGTAAAGTCGGCCTGAATGCAAATCCCCAGCATGCACGTCAAAAAGCCAGGTGTGGCTACGCACCTGGAACCCCAGCACCGTAGGGTCCAGAGGCAGGAGGAGGATCACCAGAGCTTGCTGACTGCCGGCCTTTCTCCAGGTTCAATGAGACCCCGTTTCAAGGGAGTGAGGTGGAGAGTGATAGAATGGGATACCCAAATCTTCCTCCAGCCTCCCTGTATGCCACAGGCATGCACTCACACATGTGTACATACACCACACACACACACACACACACACACACACACACACACACACAACTGAGGAGTGAAGCTGATAATGAAAGAAGGGAAGTCTGAGAAATACTACGAGATAAAAGGATTTAAGAGAGGAGCCTGAGGGATCCTAACAATGGAAGGAGGGAGGTTGGAGGAGTAATTGCGTGGCCTAAGGTAGAGTGATGATGGACCAGGAGAGGAATCCAGGTAATAACAAAAATGGGACCAAAAGATGATCTGAAGAGCAGCTGTGGCCCATGGGGGTTCTGAGGGATAAGGGTGATGGCATGGGTCAGAGACATCAAAAAGCAGCTGAGAATCTTCTAGCTACTCATGGGCCTGACAAGACCACAAAAAAAAGTTGCTTTAGAGGTAAAAGAGGAAGAAACATGAAATGTGGGCTTCCCCCTGCTGCCCACTGGGGCACCTGAGCCTCAAAGGGGGAGCCCTGCTGAGGGATGGGAAATTACTCAGTGGTCTTCAGCCACAGGGGTCCCCCGCTGGAGGCAGCAGTAGGTAGGCCACCAAATGTCTGGTCTGCTTTCTCAGTCTTGTTTGGGGTTGCCACCAGGAGCTCAGGAGAGCTCCAGGCCTGGCCCTGAGCACCTGTTGCCGTACACGACTTCAGGCGGCTGACCCGCCTCCCCGCTCCAACGCTCGTGGGCTGGAGGTGTCCCGTGTCCTGCCGTTGGTCAGGCTCACCATGTCCAGTTGGGATCATGAAGTTTCATGAGCACAAGCCATCCTCCTCTGTAAGAGCTTTCCCAAAGCTGCCCATGGGACTGAACGGGGCAGGCAGCAGCTGATGGACAGCAAAGATGGATGCCTGCTTTCTAGTGGAATTCCATGCAACTGTCCATACCGCTGGGACGGGCAGGACTGCAGTGGTGACCACCACCCACCCAGCTATTTATAAGACAGAGGGGTGCATTTCTTTAGGCATGTCTGCGATAGCGCCTGTGAAGTCACCTGTGCTCCCATTTTGCAGGTGGACAAGGGACACACCCGAGGTGGTGCAGTTGACAGATGGCTGACCAACACCTCGGTCACCCCCTCCTCCATTCTTTTCCTGCCACCACTTTCTCTTCCATGAGGTCACCACTCTGGGTCCCTGTCGGCCCACGTTTCCCTGGCTCTGCTGGTCCCTCTGGGGTGGCTTTCTCTCTGATACAGCTGTGGCGATGACACCCACGAGTTCCCACCGTGTCTTCTCTCCACCGATGATTTCCATCTTCTTATTCAGCTTTTCCACTGACAAGAAGGCCTCTCTTTATAGAGGTGTTTTGAACTGCAGGTGACATGTGACCCTCACGACTTGCCTGAAAGAGGAACCTCTGCTCACTTAGTCAGATGTCCCTTAACAGGATGTGGCAAACTGTTAGACCACAATTCAATTTAATAAGTAAGGAGGGTTTTTTCCCCTTATATTTGATTTTCTCTAAAATGCTCCTAAGGTGGAAACTATTGCTTTTTTTCTCTCTCTAAAGTATGTGTGTGGCACTTTGAATTGTTATAATAACCTGGGATGTGCCCACAGGCTGCGTGCGTCCCTACGAATCTCATCTACATACCCACACTCACACCCACTCCTGTGTGCATGCCTGGAATTGAGTGAAACAGAAAGTCAGCAATTTCTGTCTCAAGTACAAAAACTAAAGAGTTCAAAGTGTAGGCATAGAATTCCACCTGTGCTCACAGGACCTGGAAATCTTAACCAGGGTCTTTCCAGCTCTGCACAGAGCCTCCTTGGCTAGTCACTTACGAGTTGTGCAAATCACTAGCAAGGCAGAAAGTCCTCCCCAAGTGAGGCAGAAAGT